ATTATATTTTAGATTTTTTATATTTAAAATAAGATGTTTATCCTGTATTTGATTGTGTTTATCTGCAGTTAGTTACACGGATTCAGTTATGGGATGAAATCGGATAGGGATGAACGGGTTTAAGAGTTTTAAGAGTTTAAGAGTTTTTAAGAGTTTTAGCCAAATGCATTATAATATAGTATAGATTATAGATTTATTCAAACACTCAAAAATGTTTATTATTAATATCATATCGAAATAAGTTAATAAGTTATTTTTATAAACAATCTCAACACTCCTAAATAATAATATTTATAAAATTATATATCTATTAAATAATTATAATATCTGAAAAATAAATAAGAATATATTTATAGAAATGATATCTTTTATTTATTTTCACTTTTAGTTAATAGCATAAAAGTTTAGTTTTTCTCTTTCCTTTTCGTTTCCTATTTTCCTCCTAAGAATATAAATAAATAAAATTATCTATTTCTATTTTTTTCCTTTTTTTCTGTCACTTCCTCTTCTTTTCTTTTTTAAATTCGAATACACATCGTGCATACTTAAAAAAAATCTCAGACCATAATTTAAGAGATCATATGGTGAAAAACATCTTACATACAAATCTCTCCCAAATATTCAATGTATGGGATCAAGGACCAAGACAAATCCCATTCCGGTTGTTGCTAGGACCGATATAGGTTCAAAGGACCAATCGAGTCATATTTTAGAAGTTGATGACGAGTGAAGAACGGTCTCTTAAAGGATCAACCAAAAAAACGAAGAAAAAAAAGTTTCTCAAAATCAACCAAAAAAAGGGAAAAAGTTCATTGAAAATCAATCAAAAAGTTTATCCTCAAAATCAATCTAAAAACTTTAAAAAAAGATGTTCAAAACGATGGAATTCGGCTAAAAACTTATCTGACAACGCTGCAGATTTTGATCCACCTTAAAAATGTAATCACTCGGCATAATTCATGGATCCACCCCCGGATCTCATCTTGAATGAATCTCCTATAGCAACAAGCCCCCTGTTTCAAGGGAACTCATATTGACAAGGTTGTGTTGATCAAAATTTAAGAGATTTGAGAATATTTAAAACAGACAAGATTCTCATTTATGAAAGATTATTATGATTTACAATAAGAACTGATAATACATTAATGCTCATGAATATAATCTAACCAAAAACCTCTTTGTTACAATAAGAATGATACCCGATATAATCCAACCAAAACCTTTCGATATTTCCCCTCAACTTAGGGATTGTTTGACCGTTGCTGAATAGTTAGGTGCAGAATGATTAAGAGGCTCTAATGATATAGTGAAAAATGAAATATAATTGTTTAGTAATTGTTTACAATGAAATTAGGATGCTTAATGGTTAAGAAATACTCATGATACAAAATCATTCAAGAGGTTTTAGAAGCATTAAGAGACAGATTTTTTTTGTCAAACAAAATTCACCTCTTAATGAAACTATTAAGAGATAAACAAACAAGCTATTAGCTTCTAACATTTCTATTCATTCAGGCATCATGTTGATGTGTTGCCAAATGGTCAAAACTCAAAAGCTCTTGCAACAAACAGAGGGCTGTTTTGGAAAGCCTGAACTTTGTATTTATGAATGACAAGATTTAATTAATGTAATCATCCACGAACTGACAAAAAATTAATGGTAAAATGGTGTTTTAAATCATTCAGATAATTTATTCAACTCAAAAAACAAACAAATTCATACAGACAATTAAATCTACCTGAAAGCTTAATCCATATAGAGCTTAATAGAAAAATTACCAAACAAGACTTGCTTCAAGTTTTATACGTAACTATTGTTTACTCTACCATGGTCTCGCAAAAACATGTATGTTTCTGATCCTTGTTCAAATGCAAACAAAACAGATTGGGGTATAAGATCGCAAGAGTTCATTGTAACCACACCACATTGCACGAGACCGTAAGTGTTGCTATATGTGTATATGGGATTCAACAATTTTGAGTTTTAAATCTACATTCAACAAATGCCGAAAATTGATCGATGATACACGAGTGGCATTTGGCAAATCGCCTATCATATTTATATGAAAATAAATAAAACAAAGGTAGATGGTACATTGCACATTCTATTGACAGTTGGTTTAAACTTTATAAGTTATCCCAGAACCTGGTGCAAATTGTCGCCAAGATTTGCATCCGTGCTATTCAGGAAAGATGTAGGTTTGCGTGTGCACTTTTGTACGAACAAATCCACATGCTCTGCACCATCGTGTTGAACTAAAGGTGTATCTAGAACTCAAGACAACAATAGAGTTAGTTTTAAGTGTAACTTGGTATGAACCCTTTCGCATGTTGGCTTTCCATTTCAAGAGCCATCAAGGATTTTTGTCTCTGGTACTTGTTCCTCTTGGCAGCAAGAGCTGAAACAATATAGAGTTGTTAAACAACATTTTTGAGATAAAAAACTGAAATAGAGATGCAATCAGTAATCACGAAAAGCTAGAGCACAAAGAACGGTATCTGGTCAAACAAACATTTCAAATGCTTCCGGTGGGACTAAATCATACAAATTAAACTGATCTTTTCGACAACACGTGAGCACTAGAAGAGTTGTGCTATGTGTTCATATGAAGTGTGAACGTTAATGGTATATTCAAAAGTATGAAGAATATAAATTATCAACAAAGTTCTCTAAAAAATAACATTTCATGCTTTACACATTGAAAAAATAAAGATATAGTTGAGAGGTTTACTTTTTGCTACATTTATATATATATATATATATATAGGGTTGGGTTTTGGTGAGAAAGAAAGTTATGGTGAGAAGCATAAGAAGAGATCTCCACCATTGGATCAATCCTAATTAAATGTCAACACTAATAAGGTACACCAGATCAATTCCCTTCTAAAGCGCAATTCACGAGTAGCATGAGATTAGAAGTGATCATGGGTTGAGATCTCTTCTTACACTTCTCACTATAACTTCCCTTCTCACACAATCCTTCACCTATATATATATGGGGAAATCATATACTCCCTCCGTCCCAAATTAAGTGTCTAGTTTCTATTTTAGTTTGTCCCAAAATACTTCACCTATATATATATATATATATATATATATATATATATATATATATACCTAGACGAAGGATCGTGTGAGAATAGAAGTTTTGAGAAGTGTGAGAAGGGATTTGAACCCTTGATCACTTTCGATTAGTGTTGATCTAATGATTTAGATTAAGTCCCAAAATAACCCATGAATTAGCTTGGAAGGGTATTTTCAATTAGTATTTTCATGATAACTATTATCCTTACCGGAAACCAACTATATATAGAGGGGGGGGGGGGAATTCATTTAGGAACCTTAAATATTTTAGTAACTCAGAAACCACCTTTTTGTGAGTATTCATGATGAATATTTATCACGTGATTCATCATGAAATACTCACAAAAGGGTGGTCCTAGGTTCCTAAAATATTTAAGCTTTCTAAACTAGCCTCCCTCTATATATATATGCACACGCCTCAGGGATTCCACACTAATGAAGGTGTCTTGACTGCAATGTTGTATGCAAGAATAAAAAGAGAACTGAAGCATTGTAATTAAAGGAACCATTTTCTTCTTTGCCAATGACTTACTAGAAAATGTAATTCAGGAGAGTATGGGAAAGAGTTATACTCACACATCAACTCCTGAGGTAGACCAAAGTCATAGTCATTCCGCCGTCTCCTGATGCAAATATATACTATCACCAACACAAATAAAAAGACAACACCGCATGATATCCCTACTGCAATTTTACCACCGTTCGATAGGCCTCCATTTTTCCAGAACAAAGGACAATCTGGCAAAGAAGGTACACCACACAGGCCTTTGTTACCAGAAAGGCTGCCATAAAATTATCAAACGTGTTAGATAACAACAAACCGCAAGCAAAATCTCTATTAAGAGCCACAAAAACTGGAGATATTTAGATTGATCTGAGAAACTACAACACGAATTACTATTGTAACAACAATTTCTTTAAATCTTCTCCAACTTAGTTTGTTTCTTTTCCCCTTTGGAAATGAACCAACAACCTCTGTGTTTTATCATGTGGGTTCTTTTTTAAAAGTAATTACAATATGTTACCATCGGAAATAATAGGTATACAGCACAAGAGTTTGTACAAGCGTGAAGACTAGGAAATAAATCCCAACTCTGTACATCCCACTCGAAAGTAGGGTCTGAGAGGGGTAGGATGTACGCACACCTTACCTCAACCACTAGAATCGAGAGGCTATTTCCGTGAAGACCCCCTGCTTGTGCACAAAGCAAAGGTGTGTGCAAGCAGGCAATAGAAAGATAATATAACAAGCAATCGGGATGTATATATATATGAGGTAGATTAATGATTGAATGGTGAGTGCATGATTCAATGGTCTGCAAGCAGACAATCTAATCAGATAAAACATGATTCAACTTAAACATGTAGGTAAGACAAGTAAGAATGTCAAGCAGAAAGTCAGGTCCTACCGGTCCCAGCTTTCTCACAAAAAGAGCCTATTTGCCGCCACCCCTTATACCCTCCTATTGATACCTTTGTCACCACCCTCTACCAGATCCTACTAAAAACCGGTCACTCTGGTCGTGTGCCTCCAACAACTCCAATCAGAGTTCATGTCCAGGGAAAAGGCTAAAGTTGCCATGCCCATCCTCAGTTTGTCAATGAATAACCAGGGAAAAAGCTAAAGTTGCCATCCCTACAAACACTATCTTGAATGTATCTCATAATTTCATCCAAAATCACAGCAAAGAGGAATAGGCTTAGTGCCAACCCCTGAAGCAAACCTATTTCTACTAGAAAACACTTTCTCTCCCACAGGGGTCTGACACAAGACATCCTCCTACCATACATATCCTGAATTTCCCTAACACACATCCATGGAACCCCTCTAACCCCCAAGCTCCTCCAAATCCTACAACATGGTACACTATCATAGGCCTCATCTAGATCTGTGAACTCCATGTGTAGATATCTACTATGTTCTCTATACTTCTCCATTAGCGTCTAAGAAGGTGGATCGCTTCGATTGTAGACCTCCTTGGCATGAAACCGAATTGCATATGGTGCAACAGAACTTGAATTGCACATGGCCATTTGTTAGGAACTGCAGCAGTGTAAAAGGAACCAAGTCAGGCATTATCATACATATAATAACATTATTCGCTTTCACCGATTGTTATTGGTTGAACGCAGATGTCTCAGAGTCTGTGGGTCATGACTTCCCATTGTACATAGTGTTATGTGCTCCTGACTATGCTTCTTCACTATCACAGATTCACAATATATTGAAATAGAAGACATTGAAGTTATTTCCTAATCCAATGTATTCTATTTCAATATATTGTGATCGTGAAGATGCACTGTCAGGAGCATACAACACTATGTACAAGGGAAGTCATGACCCACTGACTCTGTGACATCCGACTTCAACCAAAAACAATCCATGGAATTGAATAATGTTACTATATGTATGATAACTCCTAGTTTGGTTCCTTCAGCAATGCTAGACCTCTTATAACAAAAACATTGTATTTTGCCCCTTGGCCAAATCTAGACATGAAATTAGTAAAGACACTATGAATGAGGTTAACCAATCTAGTGAGGAAAATAGGAGGGAGTTTATGCTTACAAAAGTGGAAGGGGTCATGTTTGTAATTTAATTTCTCTATTTATAGGACAGTGGTATGTGTCCCGGATCCTGATGTTCCCCAAGACTTGCTTTATTAAAGGGTTTCGCGGGTTTTAGGATGCCTCTTCAACACCAAGGGCCTCCAGGTTGGGTCTTGACAGATACCATGCTGTCAATGTACTCTCAGAGATGATATACATCCTTGGGGATTTAACTTGTATAATACAATTCTCAATACATATATGACAATCAGTTATCGTCATGGCATTGCACTTGCACAAAAAGTTCTTGTTAATATGGTACGAGAGCAAAAAATCAAGCTTCTTAGCACTGTCTTTGCTACTACTGACAGATGCTGAGACAGTCTTATTCCATGTCTGTCCTGGTGTAATAAATGCAAATAATACATCTAAGCCGTAACACAGACACAGTCACTAAATATCTGAAAAAAAAGTAGGTCATGGAATAGCATTAGAAACCATGACTGTAGGTATCTAACCTCACCATGACTTGCAAATAATGAAATATATACACGAAAAACTAACTGAAGTATGACATACTCAATAGCTCCGCCATGGACACCAACTGAGTATAGCTCTTCTGGCACTTGCCCTTCCAGTTTGTTACCATTCAAGAGCCTGAGAAGTAAGTACACGTAAAAGCATAAATAGATCTTTACCGTGAGACTAGATTTGTGCATTAATAAGGTCAAATACCCAATAATAGGCTAGGAAAGGAAAGGAAATCTTCATGTTAGTCTTTAAAGGCAATAAAAACTTTAAATGTAGATAAGGAAGTATAAGCTTACACAAGCTGTAGATTTGAAGAAGTTAAACTATCGGGTATGGACCCAGAAATCTGATTGTCCGATAAATCCCTGCATTATTTGTTAAGATAGTGAGTCGCAACATCATAAATATTTGAACATAAAATTGACATAACCACAAAGTGATGCAAATACTGAAAAGTTATGAGGAAGGAGAGACTAGAGATGGCTAGAGCAGGTACATCATTACATTATCACCTTTCTAATTTAATTCTTGTTAGAATTGCTTAATACAGTTTTTCTCCGCGTCAACTGTGAAGGAATTTGATTCTCATCAATTTTTTATTAAAATCCATAGGATCAATATATATTGTCGTAGTTGCAATATGGACAAACTTGAAGAGGCAAAATTTCTAGAATTCTATAGTGAATTTACACGTTCTCTTGCTACGTTGGCACCCTTATCCCTTTTCCATTATCTATTCAGCTAATTCAAAATACCTACAGGTAAAACTAAACCAAACAAACACGGTATATCCTACCTGGATGTGGGGTCTGAGGATATGATTTACGCAGATCTGACGTCTACCCCAAAGCTAGGACCCTCGGCGTGCGACAAGTGTGTGAAAGAGAGAAATGGTGAAGTATAAGGGGGATCCACAGTGCACAAAGCACGTGCTTGGGAAGGAAGTCTTCACACACAGCATTTCCTTACACGTTTTATACTTGTTTGGTGATCAAACATAAAAAATTTAAACGTGTGGCAGTCAATATACAGATAAATACAACTTCGAAATTAAAACAAAAAACAGGGGAGGACTCAGAGAAGTAGCTGGCGGCAGCATGCAAGGAGGGAGGGAAGATGCCGGATGGGGGAGGAGGGACAAGGCTGAGGTGCAACATCACAAGGGGGAGGGTAGGACAAACCGGAAACATTGCAGGGCAAGTAAGGGGGAAGGTGGTAGATGCCATTTCAAGGGGGGTTAAAGAGGTGCATTGTAAGTTTGGCACAGTAAATACCCCTGAACTTTAATTAGTTTTCATTTAATGATTTTTTAATTTGAAGTTGAATTGAAGTGCATAATGGTCATTATACCGTTTTTTAATGTAAATTTGGTCAGATTTGGTGTAAATGGCACTAATTGCAAGGGTGGATGGGCTCTTTTATAGTTTATATAGTTTAGTGGATTAAAAGAGGAACTTTGCAAAAGTTGGATGGGGTCAGTGTGCAAGGTAGAATTGCTTTGTTCTGTCGTAGTTCTATAACAGCATAACCCAAATCTTTTGTTTCTAGAATCTGTCCTGCATAATACTTCATTATCAGCTTTATAAGGTCAGTTCCTGCCATTACCATGACTGCCACATTGATAAAATGCTTCTAACTGCATGCACACCACTATAAGTTCACATTTTCTTTATATATATATCATCTGCTCTCTATGACAGATCTATATCCTACTGTTCAACCAACATGTATCCGGATTCAAAAAAACCACAGGAGTTATCTTTCTCTATATGGGATTAAAAGGCAACCTAACGCACTAAGAAATGCTTTGCAAGTGCTAGGGAGGGGGAGCCTTCATTGACTGCCACATTGATAAAATGCTTCTAACTGCATGCACACCACTATAAGTTGACATTTTCTATATATATATATATACATATATATATACATATATACATATATATCATCTGCTCTCTATGACAGATATATATCCTACTGTTCAACCAACATGTATCCGGATTCAAAGCACTAAGAAATGCTTTGCAAGGTCAGTTCCTGCCATTACCATGACTGCCACATTGATAAAATGCTTCTAACTGCATGCACACCACTATAAGTTCACATTTTCTTTATATATATATCATCTGCTCTCTATGACAGATCTATATCCTACTGTTCAACCAACATGTATCCGGATTCAAAAAACCACAGGAGTTATCTTTCTCTATATGGGATTAAAAGGCAACCTAACGCACTAAGAAATGCTTTGCAAGTGCTAGGGAGGGGGAGCCTTCATACACGTTCTTTCCCTAGCAATTTGCAAAGAAAATGCTTCCATAACTTGAACCTGTGACATTCCGGTACAAAGGAGGAACCTTATAGATTGCTCCAAGGTCTGCGAGGATTAGGGTACTTTCATAAGCTACACCGTGAAGCTTATTTCCAATCAAATTGACATGATAATTCAAGAGAATCTATAAATTAATCGTAATACTCACTTACAAACAATGAGAACAGAGAAGTAAATTGAAAACATAATACAAGCACAAGCAGATGAAATATGCTTCTTGAACAACAGTGGCCATCCCTTTTTTCAGATGCATAGAGATTGATGGTTTCAAAAACTTATCAGATGCAACTCTATAAGAAAGCTGACGTGAATCTTCTTAATTTTAACTGGAAAAGAAACCTTCAATCAGTAAATTCTTACAGTTTCTTAAGAGAATTTTGCCCCAACCCAGCAGGTAGAGTACCTCCTAAAGAGTTAGAACTTAAGTTCCTGCAGTTAAAAGAAAAGAAAGTTTTAGTGGATATAAACCAGAAAACCTAAAGGAAGTGAAACAATCATACAAGAGACGTTAGACGACACAAATCTTCAAAGTACAATCTGTATCTGTAAACACACCAGTATTTTTGGGATCAATATCTGATGTTCATGTGCTGTTCGAAATTTTTGTATAAACATTTCCTCCAACATTTCTCAACATGAACAAGCCTTGTCGCATTAACTAAGCATGAATAGTATATTTCCAGATTAAATCAGTAATTAATAGTATGTTACACCAAAAAGACCTATTCTCCTTCACAAATTAACCCATGGCAATTGTCATTCATGGTTTGCAGATGCAACTAAAATGGAATGTGATCTTGATTTCATCAAGAAATACTGGGTTCAAACAGATAGATAGCTAAGACCATATAAATCAAACACCAAATTTTTTGTTAATTAATCAAGATCAACATTGCTTATATTAAAGATACAGATAACTCCTCAAAATATAGCCGTATATTAGTCAGGATCGCAACAAGTAAGAAATGGAGAAGGCTATTTACTCAGAATTTTTGTGGATGACACCTAAGAGCTGGCAGATGATACTTACAAGCTTACCAAGTTAGTCAGATGATCAATTTTATCACTAATATAGCCTTTCAAACCTTGGCTCCCAAGATCTCTGCAAGAATATCATATAATGAGTATTTAACAAATTAGTAGCATATGTCAAAGTAACTTGTGTAAATGGTATCTCTCCAGAGATGCATAACTATCACTTGCCCACTTTGATACCGTTAAAAAAGAACCATAGAAGTACTTACATCTGAAAGATCACAAGAGCAGATTCATCCTTGTTGAGATGGCATGTAACACCTTCCCAAGCATCCCAAGTAGTAGGAGCACAAGGATCACCATTCCAACCCATTCTTTCAGGAACACGTAATGTCTCCTTTAATGCTTGCATAGCAGCAGCTGCAAAAGAGGTCCAACGTATTCATCACAACTTCTAAATAGACTATGAGAACTAACTGTCAATTAATACTTCTAATTTAAGATGGTCTACTTTATTTATATTCACAAGAAACCACCGTAGTCTGTAGTTATGTTAGACTTACAAGTCTTTATTTAACTAGAAGAGTCTCTAAACTAGCAGAAAAACAGAGAATTCGCATTAAATGCATGAGTTTGAGCGGATCTGATGCCAATAATAGAAGGGATGCAGTCTCTTTGACTTTCTAATTCTCTCTTTTATGAGTTAGCAAGGCTTGTCAAATGTTTGCAAACTGATTCCAATGAGTTAAGTTGCAAGGCTTGTCAAATGTTTGCAAACTGATTCCAATGAGTTAGGTGAATATTGCCCATGATAGATTCAAACAGCAATGAACAAGATTGGGGAACCATTTTAAGGTACACGGACAACTAGTTCGGGTAAATGTTTAAACTGCACAAGTATTTTCATGATGCAATTTTTTTCTTAGAAGTTATCCCGAACCTCATCTCCCCTAAAACAAAAGAACAGAAAATTAATTTTGTAATGTTCAGTGTGGTTTTCAGTTTCTTACTCCAATTTTAAATTCCACCTTTGCTCCAGTAGTGCAGTAATGAACCTAGTGTAACTAATAGCTTCACAAATTTGAACTCTTCCTTGATAAAAAGTCCCTAATTGTCATCAGTGGTGTTATCAATTCAAAGCTAGCCAAAGTTTCCAAATTCAAGAACGTAGAGAAGAGATATATTAGTCAATGTCATACCTTGCTCAGGCACAGTCATGATATCGGCTGGAACAATGGCATAATTCTCAAGCCCACAAATAAGAGGCGATCCAACAACAGCAACAAGCATCACAGTCAATGGTGTATTACTCAAATTCTTAGCTACATAATGATAACTATACGCAGCAAAACCCCCAACTTCCTTGAATATATCGATTCTGGTAACATTTTCATCGTTTATAATAACATCAAACACTCTTTTCCCCTTTGCATTCACACTCACATCAATCTCCGCGAAGTGAAGCCATACAAGATAATCCTGCTTCGCATCCACCGGCAATTCATATTCTAAGTTTCCTTTTCCGGTCAAGGTCACCGCGGATTCGTATAACTTGGCTGGAAAATAGTTAGGACTGGTACCCGTATTGATCACATTTCTCACCGCCGTAACAGATTTAATCCCTACGGTGTTCGATGATCGGAATTTAGCGTCAGATTGCCAAGCGCGGTTGAAAACGTCAGTATCGTTGCTGAACCCTGGCCCCCATTGACTCGAACCACAAGTCAACCGGCCATAATTCACGAGAATCGAAGAGTCGTTACCGGTCAAAACGGGGTCATATGAAGCCGGATCGATCTGGATAAGCTCGAGCGAACCGATGACAGGAGGATCGGTAGCAATGCTGTAAAAGCACACATCGGCATCACCATCGGAAGTAAAAAACATAAGATCCGAGTAAGCACCGAAACGACTGATGTCTTCTTCCCACGGCGACCGCCAAGAAAATACCAAAGTTCCCTCGACGGAGAGCTCAAAACTCGGAGAATGAGACTTGCCATCATAGTTATCATAGACTGTGAAAGTCCGAAGATAGTATCTCCCGGGAGGAAGCTCCGGGAAAATGTAGCAGTTTTTCTTACCGGAGGAGATAGGGAAGTAACGGAGCGTCTTCTCATGGAACGACTGGAATTCGAGCGGTTCAGAGACGAGACCATTAGAACCGGCGGTGTAGTAGCGGTCAGATAGCCAAGTTGTGTTGAACTTATCGGTGGTGGTGGTGGAGCTGCCGCAATCTATGTGGTAAGCCGTGTCTGCAGAAAAAGCACATAGAGTGAAATTGAAGTTAGCGAGAATAAGTAAAAGTCAAAAGTTAATCATAGATACAGAGATATGTATGTAACAGTGTTACCGAAGGGGAAGGAGAAGGAGAAAGAAAGGGATAAGATGAGGGAGAGGAGGAGGAGGAGGGAGTTCGCCAGAGACATGGTGCGGCGGAGAACGGTGGCTGTGTTTTGGACTTTAGGGAGGAAAAATTGAAAGTTGAGATTTGGTATTAAGTATTAAAGTAAAGGGCGAGATTGACGGAAGAGATGGAGAAAGAAATCCAATAGGAAACGGAATGAAAGGTGAGTGACAGGTGAGTTTGGTTGTGTGAAAGTGGTGGCGACGGTGGTGGTGGTCTGGTGGTGGTGGTGGGGACGTCAGAATTTTTAATAGGAGGTTCTGAGTTGGCAGGTGAACTGGACCCAGTGGTACCTTCTACTCGTCTATTTTTCATAAAAATGGTACTCCTTGGGTTTTAGAACAAATATGCTCCATTTGTGACGACATATTTATATAAAAAATATTTATGATTTTATATAAAGTGTAATATTTTTTTACTAGATTTTGTGTAGTTAAAAACAGTCAAGAAAATCCTCAGTATTTAAAATTACATTAATCATCCCTAGAATTTGTGACAACTTTGGTTTTCATCTTTAACTTTTAGATTTGCAACGATCATCTTAGGTTTATATTTCATTTCGGATCTCGTCTATCGGTCCTTAGGATTAACAAACCAACATTTCTTCTCTAAATTGTCACCATTTATGTAGGTTTATTGGGTATCTTGAGTCTTGTTTCATAAATCTCCTACTGGGATTCCTTTTTGTTTGTTTGACATAGTGAGATTTTATTTGAAATGAGCATTGTTAGTGTTTTTGAATATTGGAGTTTGACATGTTGGACAGTTTTTATGAGATCGTAGCTAAGTATCAATATCAAAGACATGAAAGGCATGACTATACTTTGAGCAAATGCCGAATGCATTCTCCATCTTGATGGGTTTGATTTGCTATGATGATGGCAATGTAGCATACAAAAGAGATAGTCGCATACTTGAAGATAAGTTGTGGTTTTGATCACCCCCCCCCCCCCTTCAAGTCGTCGATGTGTTTCGAGTTTAAGGCTTCTCAATAGGTTAGGGAATTTATAGTAAACAGGTTTTGGTTTAGTTTTGTATCTAGATGAGATAATCTTCTTGAGATCTTGATTTGAAGTCTTGGTTTTATTTTCTGTTTGAAGTTTGTGTTCGAATCTGGGTTTGCATTTTTGTTTGATTTTTAGTCTTGTGTTTGAATATGGTAAAAAAAAACCAGCCGAAAAGGTGGTGTCTAGAGAAAGCAGCCCGAAAAATTGGATTTTATTTATTTTTTATTTGAAATATCTATACACATACATTACATATTTTCACACTCTTGTGTTTGCAAAATGATTGGAATTCCCCTTTCACATGATTTTGCACGTGATGGCACTTCATAAATGATCCTAATTAGCCATTAGGGTCAGAAACAAAATATGTGAAGAAGTGCAAACTTGAGTGACGAACCTTGTAATTTCCAATAGTCATGGACAAAAACCAAAACTTCAACAAATCACTTGGACGGTTTTTGTAATTTACTCTATGTGATTATTTAGTTTGGCAGGGGCAGGTGCAGGTGCAGGTGCATCCGTGTGTTTGTGACCCCTTCCCCCTCCCCCTCCCCCTCAAAAAAAGTTGAAGCATACAACATAAGATTAGATATGTCATGTAACACTCCAGAATATGTTCCAAATTAGGTATCTTGGAAAGGCCAGTAGCTACCTATCAATTGTTTATATATCATGTTTTCTATATTGAAATAAAAAGTTTTATACTAAATTTCATAAACTTACTACTTCAAAAAGCTCATTACATAATGAAAACTTTATTTATTATTTTAAAAAAATATGTAAATATTTTGTCATGTAAATTTTACAATAAATGTAATGATTTAATTGTCGCTTGTATCATGTCAAATACTCTTAGTCAATCATTCACTGATCATATCAAAATACAAAAGTTTGTTGAGTTTTTTTTGACTTTTTTCTTCAATATGAACACAATCTAATCATATTATTACAGTTTTAACCATATAACAAAATTTTAAAAAAATGTTGCGCATGATTTGAAGTAACCATACCGTATGCAATTCGGCATTTTATAATAATTTGTGTTCATTCAATCTTAAAATATTTTAAAAAATATGATTTACTGTAATTGTAATTTTAAAAGTACAAATTGTTAAATATTCTCTCAAACGATCAAATTCAAATTAAAATTCTTAAATAAAATAAGTTATTAAACATAATATATTTTCGTATAATATGTACGGTATTTAAAGATAGGGGTTGTTTTATTAAAAACTCTCTAAATAGTAATATATTTGAAAACTCATGTGTTATTTTATATGATTGTTTTTTAATCTATAAAATTAACGTAGTCATTAATATATATTTGTTTCACATATTTATGGTTCACATTGTGAATCGTTTCTATATGTTGGTAAAACAAAAAAATTATAAAAAAAATTATATTATGAACAAAATACATATTAAATTAATATATTATAAAATAAAGATATATCAATAAATACATTAAATATTATACTTTAGATAAGAAAAATTATAAAAAATAAAAGTTGTATAAGGGGCTGTTTGGCAATTACTGAATGATTAAGGGTGTGTATGGTGCGCTGGACAGGGTGGGAATGTTTGGTGTAGCCATATGTGGAACTAAGTAGAACTAACCTGGACAAGGGTGGGACACGGGTGTTCACCCTTACCCCCTGGAACTAAGTGGAACAAAACTTTTTTTACAACTCTACCCTCACTCATCGTGCGCTCCTTTCTTTCCCATCGCTCCATACACAATATCCGCCTCCATTGCTCCTTTCTTCTCCTTCATCAATCGGCGACAAGTTCTACCTTCCCCTTCATCTCGACGAGTTCTACCTTCTCCTCTCTCCATACTATCAGGTACACGATTGATTCATCTCGGTTGTTTGCTTTTTCAACTAAATCGGTCTGTTTTCTTGAATCCTCAAACGGCTGTTTGCTTGAATCAACTAAATCGGCTGTTTGCATCAACTGTTTGCTTGAATCGATTTAAGGTTTGCTATGTTTGAACCGATTTCTTTTTCAACTGTTTGAATCAACTGTTTGCTTGTCGATTTAGGGTTTGCTATGTTTGGATGTATTGGGAATTTTGAACCGATTTGTAGTTGTTAAAGTGTTTGAATCGATTTAGGATTTAGAACCCATCGATTTTGCGATTTGTAGTTGTTAAACTGTTTATGCGAACCCATCGATTTTGCCCTCTGTTTCTTGATAAGATGATGAAGTTTCCTGAGAACCCATCGATTTTGCCCTCTGTTTCTTGANGAACCCATCGATTTTGCCCTCTGTTTCTTGATAAGATGATGAAGTTTCCTGAGAACCCATCGATTTTGCCCTCTGTTTCTTGAGAACCCATTGATTTCTTTTAGATTTAATAGCGAGAGAGGGTTTTTCTACTGTTTTGGTAGTTCAATTTAGAAAGGAGATGCAACAGAGAATAAGAAAAAGAGATGCTAGAGAAAAAACACTAAACAACTCACTGGAGGGTAAATTGGTCATTTTAACCAGTTCTGTCCGGTCATGTCCTGTCTTACCAAACGCTAAACACCTGTCCCGTCCCGTCTCGTCCTGTCATGTCATGTCTGCGCACCAAACGCACCCTAAGTTGTCTGAATGATTAAGAGACTCTCATGATATAGTGTAAAATGAAATATAATTGTTTGACAATTGTTTACAATGAAATTAGAACGCTGAATGGTTAAAAGAGGCCTGTAATACAAAATCATTCAGAGGATTTTAGAACCATTAAAAGACAGATTTTTTTTTATCAAACAAAATTCACCTATTCACAATTTAAAAACTGTCTTTTAATGAAACTATTAAGAGATAAGCAAACAAAATCTAACTAAACTATAAATAAAATGGTCAACCAAAAGCATTAAATCCCATTAAGAGTAAAAAGATAAAGAGATAGCGATTGGTAATGGTGGGTGGGAGAATTTAAGGGAGCTGCACAATTTATGGCTGCCTTCATGCACCCCACTTCACAATCCACGTGTAACAACCCACATCGCCTCTTCCATTTATTGACCTTAACCATAAAGTAACGGTAAAGTCTCAATCTCGACTAAAAGGTCGGTTGTGGCTTAATAGAAATTTATGTTATACGGTATACATTTGTAGAAGTATTTTAATAACAACATCTCAAACAGTTATATTATTGTATTAAACTTTGTTTTATAATAAAGAAAGATAAAGAGAAATCTACAAGTTCTATTTGTTACTTGGATCATGTGCATATGCCATATGGTATGACTTGATTGGTTAATTAGATTAAGAAAACGTCCGTAATATAATTATAATTGGGGAAATGATGAAAATAATCACTTTATACAACTCTCTTACACAAAATAACCAGTTTTTAGGGGGTTTACAAAACTAACCCGGGGGAGATCCGTACTAGTGGGGGGCAATCCGGCCTTTTTCATCGTTAAACCGGCGTCAAATCGACATCATAGAGTGTCATAACATGAAAAACCGCGAAATCATATATAATATCTGATTTTTTCTCCAAAACTCAGCTAAATTTTTTTTTCCGTAACCACAATTATCATTGTCTTATTTTATAATGAAAAACCATGAAATTTTAAATTAAATACGTAAAAAAACACATTTTATGTATTGTTTCATTTTTATTAAAAACATCCCTTAATTGTCAAATCAAAAACACAAAATGACGAAATAGAGGTCAAATTTCGTAAATCAAATATTATATCTGATTTACGAAACCCAAATCAGATAAAAATAATTTTTGTGTCTCCATAATTATCATGGTTTATTTTTAAATCTTTATCCATGAAATTTGGTTCTAAAAAAGTTAAAAAAATACAACTTAAATGGTGTATCAGTTTTATTAAAAATACTGCAAAAAAAATAAAAAAAAAAAGTGAATTAAAGGCTGGATCGCCCCTGGGGGCGATCTGAGTGTCTGGCTCGCCCTAGGGGGGCGATTTTTGGCCCGGTCAACGATAATGAACAATAATCTCTTCTTTTTAGGCTAAAAGTGGGAACCACAAATTTTTTTTCTTAGAACCCATGTACGGATCGCCCCC